GACTCCATTGCAAAAAAGGCCCAGCAGAGGTTGTACTTCCTTCGCCAGCTGAGGAAATTCAACCTGCCACAGGAGCTGCTAAAACAGTTCTACTTTGCCATCATTGAGTCTGTCCTGTGTTCATCCATAACTGTCTGGTTTGGTTCAGCTACAAAATCAGACATCAAGAGACTACAACGGACAGTCAGGACTGCTGAGAGGATTATCGGTGCCCCTCTGCCCAGCCTCCAAGATCTTTACATCTCCAGAGTGAGGAAAAGAGCTAAAAAAAATCACCTTGGACCCCTCACACCCAGCCCACTCTCTCTTCGAACTGTTGCCTTCTGGTCGGCGCTACAGAGCACTGACCACCAGAACAGCCAGGCACAAGAAAAATTTTTTCCCGCAGGCTATATTCAGCCTGATCAATTAATCTTTCATAATTATACATCGTCCATCACAACTAACGTGGTTATCTGACATTTATATTAAACTGCACTTTGTAAATAACATATCTGCACACTAATAACATATCTGTACATTTATCTAAACAATTACATTTTTTCCTATACTTCTATTTCTGTATATAGTTCAGAGCTCTGAGCACCAGAACGGCCAGACACAGGAACAGTTTCTTCCCTCAGGCCATCCATCTCATGACCACTTGACAATAACTGTGGAACACACACTATTTATTCACTCCATACACTTACTTATTTAACACACATACTCAGTCTACATTTCAATTTGCACATAATATACCTGTACATACAAAATGTTACATACTATTGTTATATACCTGTACATACAATTGTTGATTTGTATATTTTTTCCTTTTTTTTTTTTTTTTTTTTTTTTTATTATCTGTGTTTTTTTGTTCTGTCTCTGTTACACTGTGGAAGCTTCTGTCACGAAAACAAATTCCTCGTATGTGTAAACATACCTGGCAATAAAGCTCATTCTGATTCTGATTCTGATTAATGTTTATTTTTTATTTTTTTAATATTTTTATATTACATCCCTACTGTGTTATTCCTATGTATGTCTGCACTATGTTTGTACTTCTACAATGGAAGCTCTTGTCGTCAAGTCAAATTCCTTGTGTGTGTAAACATACTTGGTAATAAAGATCTTCTGATTCTGAAAATAATGTTCCTTTTAGCAACATCATATGACCCCTTTAAATCGACAATATAAAACACTACAAAAATTATTAGACACAATTTGGGACAATTTTTAGACTGGTTGCGAGAAACTTCAGTGTTTACAATTACCATAACCTGCTGTTGAAGTGAGTTTTTATTTATTATTTATTTGTATTTTTTTTTATAACAAATCGAACCGGTGTGAAGTAGCATCACATGTTATTTAATGTTATTTGGATAAAAAAAGACCAAAAAAAAAAAAAGACGTACAATCCTTTTCATTTCACACATATTGTAGTGTTGACAGTTGACACTATTTAGCTTTTTTTTTTTTTCTTTTTCATTTTTTTAAGACTGCTTTTTAATCCGAGTGCTTCAGAATATATGTTCTTCACTTCCTCAAACATTCGGCCTCTCGTGCACAGAACTTGCCAGGTGTCAGCTGGATATAGCTGAGCTCTCGAGTTTAATCCAGAAACTTCACTGGCATGAGGGTGGTCTTCCCATCACAAACCTGGACCTTGAACGTCGAATCAGCATACAGGTGAGTCTGCTGTTGTAAATCTGACACAGAATGGACAGGATATCTGTTATCTTTGTGCAGCAGCCAGCTTAACACAAAGCAAATGTGAGAAGTAAACGTGATTATTTGATGGCATTAGCTGTGTTAAATATCAAAGAGGTAAACATGGTGCTTATTTTTCAGAATCTTAGTCTTGAGAAACCCAAAAAGAAGTCTGGAAAGTTCTGGGGTCACTCCCGAACACTGTCAAGAGGCGAATCGCTTGGCTTTGTAAGTTCAAAATTATGTTCCTTGTTTGAGTTTGAATAAATTATGTCTGACTATTGTAAATACAGAGGGTCTCATTCACTAACTGATGCATGTAGGCATCAAGGCTCAACAGTGCTAGCGTTTCACTCGAGTTTGCGAATAAATAGATGTTTGCAAACTGTATAATGTATTAAGGACCATGGGTGCTAAATAAAGTCCGTCAGTTTAATGAAATTTAAGGTCATACTTCTTAAATATCTTAGTTGTTATACAATTTATCATTTTAAGAGGTCTTAAGTTTGGGGATGGGGAAAAAAACAAGAACCAGCCTAATGTTGTTATACTTCAAAAGGCAATGATTTCATTAAATGTCACTGCACATTTCAAAATAAAAAATGTGGAGCTGTTAAAAGCATTTGTTAATACAGTTTCATTTATCATATTTTATTATTTTATTTTATTTTTGTAATGTTTTTTTTTTTCTAAAGTCAATTTTATTATTGTTTTGAACTGCTTGCGCTTTACAGTTAAATCTGTTAACTGTTTTTGTTGGTGTTTTATTTTATTTTATTATTATTATTATTATTTGTTTATTTTTGGTGAATTGTTTTAAAACCACAGCACAAAAACCCTAATAATCAAACTGAACATAATTATTTTACATACTTAATTATTAAGTGTATGGAACCCATGACAATTAAAGAACAAAATCATTCAAAAAATATTGTTTACTGAATTAGAAAAAAGCTAATTCATAGATGATAACATGAGATTTCAGTGATAGTTTGACCACTCAAGTAAGAAATGTCTGCAGTTTCTATTTCAGAAAATCTCCTTTAAGTCACCTTAAATTAATGATCAATTAATCGTTAACCATGATACTCCACGAAGCATCTACTGTAGTGGCATTTAGTCAACGTAGCAGGATGTGCAAATGCCATTTAAAAGGCCAGTTTTCTCACCTGAAAGAAACGTTTTTTTCTAGCTAGTAGTAAAAAGCTAGTAGTATTGCAAAATGAGTGATGTGTTTGATCATTTGATAAAATGAAGTGAGGCGAGCATGCTGTGTTTGGGATCATTTTATGTTAAATGGTGATACTGAGTTTAATTTTCACCAGAGTTCCGTAGTGAATGTTGATACATTGTTTTCATTGTTCAACTTAAGACTGCGTTGGAATGGTTAATGCTTACTATATCATAAATTGCCATAGCTGTCCTTGCAGCCAGTGTGGAAAATTTTTTATTTTTTCAGCTTTCTAGCACAGAAAAAAGCTGACATTTTCCACACCGTCTGTATTTCCACTACAGCAACAAGTACAGACAGACACTCTGAACTGTATTGTTTCTCATAATAATTTATTAGTTATTAGTTATTATTGTTTCTCATAATAGTATTTTTGCACAAGATGTGAAGAGTTAATACATCAGATATTCAGCCCCTCCAATTAATCATCCAAACAACATGAGTGGTATCTCAATAATATTAGAAAGAGTGATAATTGTGCCTTAGAGTACAACACCAGTGAAATTAAGATGTAGTGACAGCACTACTGTGTAAGAGCTTTCAGCACATCCTCTTCTGTACAACCTTTTGTCACTCTCTGTAAATGTATCCTCGCGTTCTCTAAAGGTGTGCTCTTGCATGAGTACACACACAGCAAGATCTTCAAGTTAACTGGCTGAAGTGTAATTAACACCTTTTCTTTATACTGTAAGGATAGGCCACACATGATTTAGTTAAGTCATTTTTATTCGTATAGCACTCATAATCCTTGTTTCAGTGCGGCCAAAATGTAAAAGTGTGTGAAACCCTCCTGTGTGTAAGGTGAAAGTGGCAAAGTTTCTTCAGCCATAACCTACGCAAAACGCAGCATTTTTATTAGTCTGAATAAGACTTGATGTAGTAATATTTAACATTTTGGCTTATGCTTTCCTTGATCCCTAGACCACCAGGAGTGTTTTTTCCCCTTAAATAGTCTTTATTTCCATGTGAAAATATTTTATGTCCAAATACATATGTATGCAGGGTTGGTGAATGAAGCACACAATCTGGTTGAATGTCTTGCCCTTTTTATTTCTGAACTACTGCTTCTGTTTCCTGTTATAATAATTATGTTTCCATCTCTTTCTTTGGAGCAGTTTTCTTCGAGCCACTTGGGCACATCAACTGGCTTGGCTGCTTCCCTTCAGTCCATCCCAGATTACGTTTACTCCCAGCTGTCCACGCCTGCGGTCTCCTCACCAGAAGGAAAGCAACTGCAGTTAGACATCTGTGCCTTGTGTGAAAAAGGTACATGGTTTCATTCATTCTGTTTCTACAATTTTAAATGCTGCTGTAAATTAGTGTAGAACTAATTCTGTTATGTGTCCAAGAAGAGATGTGCATGACTATTCATACCTGTATTGGTGGGGGTAGGGTGAAACCTTCACAAATAGCAGAGGAAGAATCCTGAACCAGTTCTTACGCATTGATATGAAAGAAATGGCTGGGGATGAAAAGAGTACTAAAACAATTTACACACTGTACTGTTTCTTCCCCAAAAATCCCAAAGAGGCAATGCTGAAGAAGTAGGTGTTGATCTGTGCAGGCCGTCATGTGCTGACATATTCATCTTGATTACGTAATAAAGAGGAGGAAGTACAAAATGAGTCGTTTGGCAGCTTGGTTTCCGTAAAAGCTGTTTTTGCACTTACAAGGAAGTTTTGAGTTCTGAAACTTACAGTAATTCTTACATATTCCCCTCATCTAAATGGCATGAGACTGGATGACTTTCTCAAACCTACTAAATCTAGAAAATAAAATAAAATGAAGTGATATCTGGTATGTCACTGTGGGGGAAAAAAAATACATGTACAGAAAGTAAGTGGCAACAGTGTACTACATTTACAATGTGAAACACTCGTTCTCACACACACACACACACACACTTGTATATGTGGTTTATTGGAACTCTCAATAGGTTATAATGTTTTGGTTTACTTAGGTTATCCATTTTTTTATCCCCTAACCCTAACCCCACCCCTAAACATAGCCCTCACAGAAATTTCTGACATTAAAAAAAATAATAAAAAATTGTTTAGTATATGTTTAAGCCAGTTAGTTTATGAGGGCATAGTAACCATGTTTACGCTGTAATATCTATGTTGTCATACACATTTGTGGCTTCATAAACCATCTATTGAAGCACATTGGTATAAAAAGTTATAAAAAAAAAAAGTTTACTTTAAAACTAAATTTACAACTTTAAATTGTACTTAAAGGTGCAATAGGTGATTCTTCAGAAAAAAATTATGCTGGTTGAAAGTCTCTTCACATCCCGATAGCAATCATTAAGTTAAGTGGTCTAAAGTTATTTATCTGTATTTATATATTCTGTGGAAGGCGTAGGACCAAGAAATGTTCATCCAATCAAAACGCTCTGTCCGAGCGTTTTAATTGGCTTTCCTACCTGCCTGTTAACATACTAAGGTTTGTTTAATGGGAGAAAACAAAACGCATGCACAGTGGCCTGTTGCATGAAGCTAGCTGAACAAACTCAGAGGAGGTTTAGAGTTGACAAAACCAAACAAACCCAGCCTGGTTTAGATCAGGTTCAGCGGGCTCACAAAGCTCGATATAAACATTGTCAACTCCACAGCCACAGTTTGATTCACTTCTCGCAAGAGTCTGTGCAGTTCACAGTTCTGCTGAAGATTAATAGATGTTATTAAAAATATCATGGATTTAAATGCATTAAATGCTGTGTAGCATAAGTTACCGTGACGACGAAACCCGTTCAAAACCAACCCACCTTCTTGAGCTCAAACTCAGTTTGCTCAAACTAAACGCAAACTTACCTGGGTAAAAACCGAAACCTTATCCATGTACAACAGGCCACATAGCAGCAAAAAAGGCCGTGTGATAAGTTTTATATATATATATATATGTATGTATGTGTATATATATAATGAGTAGTTATTATGATCCACGTTATGTCATTTTTTTTGATTGATGACTTTGACATTTCACCCTTCCCCTTAGGGGTTAACCTTATGACCTTTTTAATGACCGTGATTAACCTGTGACCTCATCAATGAAGTAGGATATTGTCCTTTAATGTTCGGCGGATGTTCAAATGCCATCTGTTTGTAGCATATATCCGGGAGTGACATAATTAACCTGTGACCTCTATCATGAACTAGGATATTGTCCTTTAATGTTCGGCGGATGTTCAAATGCCATCTGTTTGTAGCATATATCCGGGAGTGACATAATTAACCTGTGACCTCTATCATGAACTAGGATATTGTCCTTTAATGTTCGGCGGATGTTCAAATGCCATCTGTTTGTAGCATATATCCGGGAGTGACATAATTAACCTGTGACCTC